AGTATATCTATATATAAAACTAGATTCTCTATAAGCAGAATAGGAGAGGATGTCTCATAAAACAAGGTGGATGACATCTTAGGAAAGATATCCATGTTTGTCCTGTGACCTCCAGACACCCACATGCACAAACACCTTCACATACATATGCACATGCACACACATGAAGGTGCACATACACATAAACACACAAACATATGATATAATATAAAAGGAGGCAAAAAATCAAGTTAAATTTTTACTGAAATAAAAATTCAATTTGTTAAAGATATGGAAAACTAGGGCTCAAAATTTGAGAGTACATTGTGTACCACTAAATAAAGCTATAAATAATATTTACAGTTTAGATCAAGTCTAAACTTCTTAAAGAAATATCCATATAATGAAATAGGAAGATGAACTTTAAAGATTTTTTATAGAGGTGGAGAAAGCTCATTAAGATGCCTCAGTGTCTTTAATCATTAGGTAAATGCACTTTGAAAGAATAGACCATATTGATTCTAAAAAAGTTTTACTTCAAAGGCTTAAGTTAGTAAATGATTAATAAACTACCATATGCTCTTCATAGGAGTGTTCTTAATTGGTAGCATCACTTCATATATCAATTTGATGATATGTAACCCATCATTATACATCTATGAAGAAGAATGAAGATGGATGGGTTTCCTTCAGCTAACATACTGAAGGAAACAAGTATGTACTTAAATAATACATGTTTTATACCTTCATGAATTTCATAAAATTTCATATTTTGAATCTGTTTACATTAGATTGTCATCCCATTTGTATTGTCATAACAGTATGCTGCAGTCTATTTGATATATGAAGGAGAGGAACTTACTTATATTCTGGAGGTAAAATTTTAAAGTTCTGGCATTTGGTGTCTGTTAAAAGCTACATCCTCTGAAGCAGAGGAAAATCATGTCCTCATAGGCAGAAGATGCAAAGGCAAAGAAGAATATCTTCCTCCAGCAAGCCCATGTATCAGGAAAGACAGCTAATCCTATTCATAAGGGAGGACCCTCTCATGACCTATTCATCTCTTAAAGGTGCCTCTGCTTAGTATTATCCCATAAAAAACAAATTTTGGAGGATGCAAAATCAAATAATATCAGAAATAAAAATAAAATAGCAAGTGGGTGTCTGATAAAATTTTAAATGGACATATTTTGGATAAGATTTCAACTCAGTGGCTTAAAGAAGTTCAAGCTTTACAAAGATGGTGGGATAATTGACTTGAGAAAAGAAAGTGTTCCTTTCTTGCAAGGAGAAGAAGTTATGATGCTCATGTGTGAACATCTCCTGTTTTGGTCATAAAAAAGTAATCCTCGAGAGATCCCTCTTTTCTATGGGACTTTCCATGTTTTATAATAGTTTTTTTTTTTTCTCCCACTGGAATAATTTTTTAAGTTATCAAAAAAAGAGCTGTTATTGCCAAGGTTATTAGCTATGCACAAATCAGGTCCTCCTGTTCCCCTTTAACTCATGCCGTCCTTGAAGGATTCTGTTACTGAAATCGAAGGCTTTGTGCCAGCTTATGTTTTACAAAATTGATAATAATCTTCCAGAAAAGTGTTTTCTTTTTAAGTGCTTTTGAAATAATTTTAGAAACAAGTAGTGTATTTACATCATATATAAACTTACTGAGTACATTTAGTGTTGCTCATATAGAAACGTGTTTAGGGGTAGCCACGTGGAATTACATAATTTATCAGGGGCCCACTCCCTGAAGAAAACTGATTCACCTTCTCTCAGCTGCCATTGATTAATTGTAGCTCTTTATCTAAAGGTGTGGCCTTGTGAATTTCCCCCATCCACATCTTCTGGGTTTATTTTGAATTTGAATCAGGGAATTCTGTTTTCTTTTCTCCAAAATATAAAACACTCGTTATTCTATTCTTCAAAGAATAAAGAAAATATTAGCATATATGATTATTATAGAGATAATTAAAATTGCTAGTGGTAATTATATTATCTATCTCTATCTATCTATCTATCTCTACCTATCTATCTATCTATCTATCTATCATCATCTATTATATATATGGCATGGAATTTGAATGAATGCTCTCCTGAGATATTTCACAGTGGTCACATGTACCGCAGAGGGATGTTGGAGGAAGTTCTTTGGAGAATCAGAAGCCCTAATTTGACTTTGTTACTGACTAGCCATGTAGCACGGGGTACTAATTTTCTATTATACTCACTTACTTGGTCTATATAAAAAGTTAGCAATATGCCAGACACAGTTCCCGGAATCAATACAAATATAACGTGAAACAAGTTGAATGAATATGGAATGGGGTAAAGATGTAGAGTCAAGGTTATTGTAATGAATTCTCAATTGCATTTTTCAGAGATTAACTAAATTATAATGGATTAATTAAATTAGAACTCCCTCATTTTGTGACAGTTACTAGAGATATTAGAC